AAAAAAGTCTTTAAGAAATGCGAGTGAATTCTCACTTACATTTCTGCCGTTCGTTGTGGACATTTAAGAGCTTTTTTTTAAAAAAATCTGACGTGCTAGTTTCAACACAAGACATAAACATGGCTTCCATACGCCAAATACTAACCTCACTAGTTGTCAGAAAGTTACTTACTAAGCAGGGATTAAGTTATTAAGTACTTACTTTAATATTTTAAATTATGATATTGAAGTCAACATCGAAACATCGTATTTTATCTCACTCCTACACTATACAAGAATTTACTTCAATTGAAAATTATCGAATATGATAAACAACTGTAACAAATACGTAATTAAATGTTTATTGTTTCTGTATTTGTATTGTGTTGGTATTCGTGTTATGACTTGTTCTATATCCTTGGCTCCCACCATAAAGGTTCTATAGAATGTAAACAAATTCTACTCTCTTGTATTCAGCATTTCTCTATTCAATTTTATCCTATTCTATTTAGGAAAATTCGTCCTTCTCCCAGTGGCACACAAGCTCTGATTATTCTCAAACATGGAATGTATATTTTCTTACCTCAGATTTGGTATGAACAAAGATATTCTGTGTTCAGTGTGATGTTATAAGTTCCAAAATCTTTTCATAAGTACAATCGTATGTACAGAAAACTAACATAGGACCAGCGAGTTATAATAAATCGCAAAGAATGCCTTTGTAAAGTACGTGTACTCCATTCGGAGAATAAGTGCCAACTTTTACTTTAGACCTTGTATAGAAACAATGAGCAAGGCAAACGTGGAGTACAGCAAGGGCTTTAACACGCGAGGACGTTCTTGACACGACATTCGTCTGTAAAAAGCTGCCTTCATCTGGAGTGAACTGTAATAAATGTAATAAATGATATGTGACGTCAACCAACAATGACATCTAGTCATCGAAGTTTGGTTGTGATGGAAAACATAATTAACTGAAATTTCGTGTAAATTATGAGTGACCTAAATAGACAAACAATTTTAAAATGGAAAGTTATTTTACAAGAAACAGGGTGACCTGTACTTTAAATGCCTCGTTAACTTCAGTAGATAAAGAACTCTAAAAGGTAGCATTATGCAACAAATAATTATCTGTTCCTTTGTTTCAATGTGGCATAGCCTGAATACGAAACCGACTTCAAAATGGAAATGTCACGCAAACAAAATTTCCTGGCATAACTAACGAAACCTGCCTTCGTATACACAGACTTCTAGATCTTGTTGATAATGGTGTGTGGATCATATCAGAAGATGGCTGTCTCCTGAGACGTTGCAGCGTAGCCTGACCGACGTTTCAGAGCAACTTACTGCCTCCACCATCATTAATTCGGGGTTTATCTAAGTAATGTGAATTTTTTAGCCTTCAAGGAAATGCAATAAATCTCGTAAGCCAGTGTTCCAAGCTCGCATGGTAGGCACGTACAATACGTGCTGCTGCAAGCGCAGTCTGAACGACGTGTGTTTCCTCACGGCACTCTTCTATACGACAAGGTCCAATATTACAGTCTGGGCAAGGCAGTGACAAGCAGTCTTTATCGCAGAAGGCAGAATGAATTATAAATAACAAGCCAACATCCATACTCTTAAAATTAATTATAAGGAAAGAGTTTGGATCTGATTTCAGTAGGTAAAGTGATATTTTGCAACACTGGTAGTGCCTTAATTTAATATTCAGTGCTATAAAAGCGAGCAAGACTGTATTCTAACTTGAAAACAAATGATGAACAGCAGCTGGCGCATGCGCACAACAAAATGCTACATCTAGCTTCACAAGCGAGCAATGGTCTGAAGCCGGCCATTCACGATCGCTCCATTCGTCCAAATGGCGCGGTGTCGCTCCAAAATTGTACTGTGAATGCGGAAACTCAAGTCCATTGGCGTGGCGCGGTGGGCTCGTTTGGATATTCTGTCGAGCCATAATCCATCCGATCGCTCCATCACTCCATCGCGCCATCGTATCGTGAGTGGCGGAAACGTGGTCCATTCTCATGCCAGTCTGCCACGAGCCTTCGTCCAGTCAAGTCGAAAGTTGCATAATGTCGGGGCGTGATTTCGTTATTGATAAATATAGAGAGTTGCCATGTATTTTACAAATAAGTTAAAATATATTATGAGACATGTTTCGCCTCTTAAGTGGCATCATCAGTCATGTGATTCACGAACTAATTGAAACTAATTAAATGTAAAAAAATAATTACATTTAGAAACTAATTAAATTTTAACAAATATAGTAATAATCCTGACCTTACCTTAAGGTATCCTTTCAAACACTGCAGTATTGCCCTGCAAGTCTCGGGGATAATTACTCCTAAACGTTGTGGAGAAGTAGCTGTCACATACTTCAGTTCTTCATAGTTCATGCCTGAAGCCAAAAATCTCAAAGTCGCTGACAATCTTTCATGAGGACTGATGCATTGTCTCATATTCGTGTCCTGTTTTTGTATCACAGGCGTGACTAGCCCCAATAAGCGGAAATAAGCACACTCATCCATTCGTAAATAGTTTCTCCAGTCTGACGGCTCCAAACTCAGTTCACTAATTAAATTGACGTGACTTAAATTGCTTCTGTTTAAGAGCCATTGCTTTGATCACTTTCGTTTTGGTTTTTTCATTCTAATATACAGGCATACTGCCGTAGGTAGTACCAATTCTTCGTCCATCGCAAACACCACGCACTTCACAGAGTGACAACAAACCGCGACTGGCGTGACGCGACCGTGAATGTAGTACCTCTTTGGACGACATCCGTTTGGACGTCATCCATTCGGATGTCATCCATCTTTAGCGATCGTGAATGGCCGGCTTGAGAAAGTGAGACGAGCAAAATGCTTTCTGCTTAATTCTGCTCCATCGTGCTAAAAAGCGCTTTTACTTTTTGCTCGAACGGTGTGCGCCAGTCCTACCTCGCATAAGCTTCCCGGACCAGCGATCAATACTGGACGAGTCCTGTCCTGACGCGTTCAATATCAGTATTCATCGTCCCTCCAATTTGCTGGTGAGGGCGTCGGTGACGATGAGGTAGAAGAAGGACTTCTTTGACGTGGAGTAGCGGAAGGAGACCGGCATGAGCTGCCATATATCTTCAACAGCTCATGGGCCAATAAATTTTGGACTCGGCTCCGAAAGTTCAACTTATGAATACAAGGAAGTTGCTTGACGTGAGGGATTAGAGATTTGAAAAAGTTCATGTCCTCGTCATCTTCACCAGACTTCCCTCGTAGCAATGAAAGTTGCTTAGACAGGATTTCCGATATTTCCTTCTCAAAATTTTCAGAACTCGCGGTGGGCTGCAGTTTAAGTCTTTTGGATGCAGAAGGGGATATTTTAATTCCATCAATTGGCACAGTAACACCGGACAAGGAATTTTGAAGCTGTCGCAATTCCTTCCTTAACTTTCTCTTCGACTGGAACGTTACTTTTGAATTTCGGGTTTTGTCATAATGTTCGTTTGTTCCGGAGGTTGAGGGCAGGGAAGTTGAAACGGACTGGTTCGAAGACGCGTTCAGCTGAAAAGACTGCGAAGATTCAATGTCGCTTTCGTTGGCATCAATTCTCTCTTTACATTTAGCACCTTCTTTATCGTATTCGCTCGCGAATGTGTAGGATAAATCTGGAGTCTGAACGTTGTCTTTGGTCTGTCTTGGAGTAATGACAGGTCGCAGAAACAACATGGCATCGTAGTGAGGCCAAGTCCCAGGGTAGCGCGGGGCCATCTCTGCGTCATCCTCGGGGCGGCTGTTCGGTACCTTTTTTAACTCTTTGCGGAAAGTGTCTCGCAAGTTTTTCCATTTGGTCTTCACTGCCTCCTCTACACACGAAAGGAGAGAGAGAAAAATTTGCAAATCTTTTCTTGTTTGTAGGTATTTGGTTACAGGGAACTTACTTATTCATTCAGCATTTCGAGAAGTGTAAAACGCTGTAACACTTGTGCAAGAATGTAAAGCTGTATGCAGATTTACATGCCAGAACCCAAAGTTGCACATTTTGAAGAAGAAGAAAAGATTGCAGAAAGCTTTTGGGACACGTGGCAATTTCCCAGTTGAATCGGGTGTATTGATGGCAAGCACGCAAGAATAAAACGCCCACCACATTCCGGTTTCATGTACTACATTTACAAGAATTATTATTCTATCGGCTTACTTGCAGTCACAGCTGCGAATCACAACTTCATCGCTGTGGATCTTGGCTCTTTTGGAAAAGACAGTGACTTTGGTTTTTTTACAACTGCATCAGGAAGAATTAAGATACCAGAAGAAAAATGCCTGCCAGGTTCAATAATAAAAGCACTTTTTTTATTTCCCTTGGCGATGAGACCTTTCGCACGAGCTCATCGTCATTTAGGCTGTAATTGTCTGCACATTGAATTACAACGTAAAGGACAATTACACTGTCTGTAATACCCAGAGAATTTTTAAAATTTGTATATAAAATTACTTCATGGACAAAAACAAACAAACATTCATTTCAGTAGTGACAGAATGTTAATGCATGAGAAACGAATTGTTTAGGTGGTAACTAAATATTTTGTCTTCCCGTCTGATTTCTAAGAACCTGAAAATTAAAGTATACAAAACAATAATCTTGCCTGTTGTTTTGTATGGGTGCGAAACATGGTCTCTCACTCAGAGGGAGGAACACAGATTGCAGGTGTTTGAGAATCGGGTGTTGAGGAGGATATTTGGGCCTAAGAGGGAAGACGATGGGGCGTGGAGAAAACTGCACAATGATGAGCTTAAAAATCTGTACTGCTCCCCCAATATTGTGAGGGTGATTAAGTCGAGAAGAATGAGATGGGCGGGACATGTAGCGCGCATGGATGGGACAAGAGGTGTGCACGGGGTACTGGTTGGGAAGCCTGAAGGGGACCTCTGGGGAGACCTACACGTAGATGGGAGGATAATCTCAGGCGGGATCTATGGGAGGTAGGAGTTGAAGGAGACAGGGTCCGGTGGAGGTCTTTGGTTAATTCGGTGATGAACATTCGGGTTCGGTAAGCCATCTAGATAGTTAGTTAGTTAGTTAGTTAGAATATGCTGAACACGTTGTTAAAGCAATAACATTGCTGCACGATGATAAGAGATTTAGAAAGTTTAACAGAACTGGACATACATAAATTCACAACTGTAAGAGAATACCCGAGGGCATATATGCCACCACCAAAGAGAAACAAAGCATCATCCAAAAGAGATGTTTTCGCAAGGAACAAATTTTGCGGGTTTTTCAAGCTCCACCCTTTGGTGCTTACATAATTCAGCTTCAGCACTGCACAGTGTCTTCTGCAGTATTTTATTATTTCTAATGTAATCAGTTTGTACAAACAAATATGAATAATTACTTTGAAAACAAACATTTAAAAAGTACCTACTTGTTTCTGCTACATTTTCTGCGATCTTCCTCCATTCCCAGTCCACAAGCTTCCGATCATGATAACTCTTATGCTTAATATCCCAAAGCATGCGTCTGCTTTTCACTTCATTAATTATAATTTCCGCTAACGTTTCTGACATTGTTATGAAATGCAGAACACACAGTTTTCCAGCGGCTGACCCTTCCTTGTACTGTATGGTCAACGCATCGAGATGCAGCGATGCGCACGAAAATATCAAAAGATCTCGTCAACCGCTTGGACTTCGTCCGCCTTTTCTCCCAATCGCATCGCTGGAACCAAGGACAGCGCCACGTAAGCAAAGTTAATATATCCGCTTCGGACGCGCCTTGCAGATTTGATCGCTTGACTCTGAATTGGCAGAAAAGACGAGAGTGTGCAAGGCGCAGCATTACGGATTCAATAACACTGAATTGTACGCGATCTGTTGGTGGTACATGGTACTACATGTATGTTTCTTGCGC